TAGCAAGTCTTAAAAAAAAAAAAAATGGGGGGGGGAGGGGCAAAAGAAACAAGAAAAAAGACAAGAACATTCAGAGCACCTTATTTGTGTTGCTCTTCTGTTTAGGTCCAGTAAAGAATAGGCAACTGTACATTGTTTTTATTGAGTCTGCAAAAAAAACAAACCCTACATGGATAAATTACAATGATTTGGACATGTATATGTGCATATTTATTTGTTTTTCCTAAAGTTAATTAAGTATTTCAGGAAAAATTGTTAGGGTGGCCGCCACCGGCAAGAGTTGGTGGCCGCATTCTGAGGCCACCAAAAAAATTGTTTTGAGAATCCCTGTTCTAGGTGAAGGACATGTCAGCGACAAGTGTCGCATCTGTAAATCATTTAAACCCCGACAAAAAAGGAGACACACAAACGTCTCAGGGCACTCCTGATGGAGTCGGTGCTGACCCCGGCACTATGGTAGAGGTCTGACTTGGCCCCGAACACCGCAGTGTCCGTGCGGAGCGCCCCGCTGGTGCCATCTACAAGCTGGCACTGATTCCCCCTCCCCAGCTCCGGCCAAGAAACCGAAGAGGACTGTGAGGGGAAGAGATGTCCCTGTGGGTGCTCCACTTCAGGTCAAGGTGCGTCCCAGTGCCTTCAATTGGAGATTTCAACAGCAGTACCCCTATGGGCTGCGCACGCGCTGTGCCTGCCTCTCGAGCTGTCAGTGTTTGAATAGCGCGTGCACAGCCCGGGCTCCTCAGTTCCTTCTCTGCCGTCCCCGGCTAGAGATGGAGTTCAGCCGTGCTCTTTGTGATTTAGCTAGTTTGTTTTAGTTTATTTAGATAGTTTTAGTCATTACAGTTAATATTTAGGTAAGATACATAGGTGTGTGTGTGTGTGTGTGTGTGTGTGTTTGTTTGTTTGTTTATTTATTCATAAAATTTAAAAAAACCTCCGCGGTTACGGACATGCCTGGCTCGCCAGGCTTCAAGAGATGTGCCTCCTGTAATGATGCCATCCCCATCTCGGATGGTCATTCGCAGTGTGTATGCTGTTTTGGGGAGTCTCATGTATTCCAAAAATGCATCCACTGTACCAAGCTGAAAGCACAGACCTGCAAGGACAGGGAGTTCAGACTTAAAATTCTCCTGTTGGAAAACTCCCTCAGACTTGCATCTGATCCTGGCCAGCAAACCTCTGTGATACCCTCCAGAGACAAAGGCAAAGCAAAAAAATGGCCAACTTCCTCCCCCCTCGGGCCGCTCCTCAGGGTAGAAGTCTAAACTGGCTCTCCTGTCTCCGGCAACCGCCGCTCCGCAGCTTAGTACCTTTGACTCGGCAGGCACCTCAGGCACCGACTGTGAGTTGGCTGCCCCACTACCCGGTGCCAAGGCTCAGGGCTTTCAGTTGCCCGCCTCTTTCAGCTCTTCCTCGGCCACCTCTGTCAGTACGGTGCCAAGAATACAAGCGGCAGCTGCGGCACCATCGTTTGATCATGCGGCGCCGCTTTTGCAGCCAATGCTCCTGGCACCGAGCCTCCTGATGTCTCCAGCCTCCCTAACAGTGCCTACCTCAGGGGCACCTACTCCTCTGAGGCAGCTTGCACCCCTGGGACACCCTTCGGTGCATCAGCAGATGCCCCAGCAGACTCTGCCTCCACCATCTACACCAGCCCCTTGTCAGTCAGCTCCACCTCAGTTTTTACATCCAGGGGAATTAAGGGTGTCCCATGCCCCTGAGTCTCCTCTTCTCGGCACTAATCTATCACTGAGACCTTCAGCACCCTACCTTCAGTACTCCCCTACTGCTTCAATCCTCTCAGATGAGGAGGAGGAAGAGGCATATGATGAACAGATGTTTTCCTCTCAATATTTCCCCTGCAACTGGGAGACACATTACAACGCAGTCTCCATATCCTACCGGTTACCCACGCTGGTATGGCAATCTCTGGATGGGAACATCTATGCCCCTCCCGGGGCAATGGCCACACAGGGGTTCATGGAACTACACCACAACACACTTAGGTGTTCCCCGGACTGTCCGGAGGAAAGTTGTCAGACCCTCCCCACTGCCAGCTTACACTGAAACCCAGATAAGACCTGAAGTGGCCGTCTCGCCTGCAGAGGATACTGCCCTGCACCCTTATCTACAGCGATACCACCAC